GAAACACTGGGTAACTCTGAAGCTCCTTAGCTGGAGTGTGGTGTCCTGTGCAAAGTTCCTGGGCTGGTGGGTGGGTCCCTGTGCCCCCAGAAGCAATGCTTGATCACTCTGCAGCTCCTTAGGTAAAATAGGTCACTCCACACAAGTTCTCTGGGGTTGTTGTTGGGCCCCTGTACTCCCAAGATTGATACAGTGTCACTTTGCAACTCCCAGCTGGGGTGGAGGGCCTGGGTAAGCTCACTGGAGCTACAGATGGGGCTCTGTGCTCCTGAGAGAGGCATGTGGAAACTTCACAGTTTCTCAGGTGGAATGTGTGATTCTGGGTGGGTTTGCTGGAACAGTGACAGAACTCTGTGCCCCTGGGAGAGGTGCAAGGGCACTATGCTAAAGAGAACAGAGCCACTTGCAGTGGTAGAAGGCTTCAATTGGTTGGCTCTCTGGCTCTCTCTCTCCGATGGGTGGCCTCTGCACTGAACTGGACCATCTGTTTCCAGGGTACTGGGCACCATATTGGCTTGGAGGCTGGAATCCCAATTTGATCAAGGGAGTTCAGAGCTGTGGAGATGACAGTGCTATTGGATGCACTGAGGTGTTGGCTTCGATCCCAATATAGCAGTGTGATGTGGCAGTCCAGGGCCCAGGGTGGTGGGTGAGTTCAATATGAACTCCTTCCCCAAATTAATGTAGTCATGTGGGCTTCCAACAGCTCCCCACACTGGTATCACTGTCCATAAGAGCCAAGCAGCTCACTTATAGCTTGATTATAGATGTCCATGGCACAATACCTGCTTACCTTTTCCGTCAGGCAGAAGTTCCTCCTGGTTTCATGATCAGGACAACATCAAAAAAGAAACTATAATGATAGCTACAGGGTTCCCAACTTCATGATAATTGCTTTTTTAAATGATTAGTAATAATAATACATTTTGGGGGAATTAGCCTCTCTTCAGAAACTAGAAAGTACTCTCCCTAGGTCAGCAATTCTTTTACTGTTAAAAACCTCAATGGCTATGTTAACCACATTTTTATGCTTTAGGACAACATACGTAAAATAATTTTAAATACTTACAGTGGGGAAAGTACAGAAAACATGAATTAGTGTAAATCTGATTTGTGCAGAATGGCACTTCTTTGGTATAACCACAGTTTAAATCAAAGCAAAACAAAACTTCCATAAACCATCTCAAACAGAAGCACAGAAGTCAGGATTGTTGATTGGGAGTTGTCCGGTTTGTGTTGGTCAAAACTAACAATGACCAGAGATGAATTCTAGAAGTAAGGCTTAGTTAGAAGGGATTTGTAGAAGTAAGGGGAAAAGTTCCTAGGTGCCAGGTAGATATCTCAAGAGTGTTTAGGTCAGCTCTTGTTGGGAAGTACAATTCATTTCCTCATATCTGTTTCAATTTAAATTATGAGTCCCTGAATGTAATGGAAATAGTGTCTTGGAACTGGGAATGACCTCTTCCCAGAATTTTAGGAGTCATTCAGAGCCAAAATAAATATACTGCTGTGTTTGATGTTATCATTTGACCTCCCTTTTATCATCTCAAGTGTTATGGGCAGCCCAAGTTTGAAATTTATGCTTCTTAAAATCTATGGAGAAAACTGGAATCACTGAGATTGAGAAAGAGAAGGCCATGGACCCTTTCAATGTTTCATATATGACTTCCTCATACAAATGAGAATTATAATGGGGGATTAGTAAAGTTTTTGACCTGTAGAAAAGATAGTTTTATCATTTATCTATTCCTCAGGAGAATTGCATCATAGTCACTGCCCAAGTGCTGATATTATTTTTGCTGTGTATTTGCATCTGGGAATGGATTTATCTGCACAGAATGCTACACTAGCCTAATCATGTACATGCACATCAGACGGTGGAAAATTAGCATGAGAGTATATTTTCCCTGAGGTGTTTATGAGATCCAGAGAGAAATATGTAGGTAAGATCCAAAGGGAATATGGGGAATTGAAAGTGTTATTGTTTATAAGTGGTTAGCACTGAGTATATTTCAGCTGTGAGTAGATATTTTGAAGAGGAGATTAATATTATATATGACATTTGAAGTAGGCCATGAGGAATGTTAAAAATAAATACTGAATTCTCTTTGGACTAGCAGGTTTTTCCCTTTTCTTTTTTCCCCTCATCAACAGTAAAATTCTTCAAATCTTCAACTAAGGCAGGTATGTATCCTTGCTTTGGTCAACATGGGAATAATGAGATGTAATAAAAATCAGACAAAGATTATTTATTTTGATACTAATATTCTTAGCATTTGTCCTAGTTTGGTTCTCTGCTTTTGATGTATAGTCCTTAAGGGACTATAGGAGATATAGGCTATGTTTTGTGTCATTTACACATGGACCTCTGTGATGCCTCTGAAAACAATTTTTCACAACTAATCGAGGCAATATAACCTACCTATGGTGATCCAAAATCAGCAAAAAGTTCAACCATTAAATTTGGTGAAATTATAGGATTCTATGGAGTATTTGAGAAATAGTTCCTGAATATATTTATCTCTCTAAACTATATTATAAATATATAAACTGACTCCACATATGTTCAGCTCTTGGTGGAATCCACAGCACACAAGGAGGCCAAGAGGTCAAAAGTAAAGGTTTTATAAGGAATTATATAATAAATTTTGAGGCTTTTGAGGCTTTTCCAAGTATGAGATTCTAGGAAAGTTGGGTAGATTTAATCCCCATCACAGTGGAAATCAGCTTTTCCTTAGGTAGTAAGTCGTCCCCAGAAGGAAGCTTCAACTCTGGGTCTCTCCTGGTAACTTCACAGTGGCAAATATTCTGGTATGAAAATGGCAATTTAAAGTAAAGGAGTCAAAAGTGTGCAGCCTTATTTTATGGTGTAATAAGTTCTGCAACTTTACTGTTTATCCAGCCTATGCACAGTGCACATTCCATAAAAGATACTTACTAGGGCCGGCCCGGTGGCGCACTGGAGAGTGTGCCGCCTCCCGCCGACAGTTTGGATCCCATGTGGAGACCGGTTTCCGCTCACTGGTTGAGCGCGGTGCGGGCGCGACACCGAGTGTTGCGATCCCGTTACCGGTCAGTAAAAAAAACAAAAAGGAAAAAAAAAAAAAAGATACTTACTAAATGGATGCTGATATTAACTAAGTTCTGTATTAATGATGTATCACATTCAGTATATCAGAAGAAAAAAACAAAAAAAAACCTTCCAAGGGATTATAATAGTGATTTATTTTTTTCCTAGTGGGAATTGTAACATATACTAACACTTCCATAATATAATGAATGAAACTGAGGAATAGGAAACTGAGCTATGTACTAATACCTAAGGGTCATTTGTATAGAAAAAGGTAGTTAAAGGAGGTATAAAACAGGAACGAGATGCACTAGTTCTCTGAAAATAAAAACACACTTTCATAAAAGAGATAATTCCAAATAATTTGAGTTTATTTCTTATTTGAATGCATTTATGTATCACTTTGTTCAGGAAGACTTTATTTTTTATTCTGTCCCAAGTTGAATTTAGGTGAGAATTTTGAGGCATTTTAACCCAACCTAGTTAAGCAAAGAATAATTAGTCTGTGTTATGAATAACAATCATATTAATAGGAAATATATGAATGTGGTTATTTTTTAAATCAGGAAATTATATCCTAAATTTAATCTTACTGAACAAATATAACTACCTGTTTAATACTGTATAGTGTATTAAAGTAATTTGATTCTTTGCATTGATAATTTCTGATGTGTTTTATAAAGTAATATTAAGACCACTTTTTTTCTGTACACATTTTAACATAAAGATATATATTGATCAAATTTTGAATAGAAAATTT